GGAGTTACATTTCCTGAGCATAAGTAAAATCAAGTTTTATTTTTGTGTCAAACCAAGGAAAAGTTTATAATTTATTTTATAATTTTTTTATCGGCACATGAAGTTCTGAATCACTAACACTGGGGTCTTTGATGTCAACATGAAATTTACTAAGAAAAGTTCATTGAAAAAACAAAAAAAAAGTCACTGAGGGTAGAGTATTACCAAAGGAGAAATTTTAAACAATATAAATAAAAAATAACAATATAGATATGAAATTCAAATTTGGCTTTTTGAAAAATCCCCAAAATAGTCTCTTTAACAAATCAAACTATATACTTAATTGCTGTTTTACAAGTAAAAATATATTATATGTGATGTTACCTTTCCTACTTTTATAAATCTTTAATTTACCATTTTACTGTAGTAAGTCAGTCCTTGAAATTGAAAATCCAATGATTTGTGTCCATTCAGGTGCCCAAAATATGTAATTAATTTTGTCAAAATATATGTTTCTGCATTAGCCCTTCACTAAGTGGTTTCATAAACAAACCTCTGAGTGCCTGCTATGTGCCGCACTGGGTTTGATGATGTAGGTTGTCATGATCCCTGGCCTTCTGAGAAAATAGATGGAAAATAAGAAGTTAATTACAAATTGTGTTTGGAGAATGAAGTCAAATTAATTACAAATTGTGTTTGGAGAATGAAGTCAAATTAAGAGCCCAAAATGGACTTGATACTTTTCTTTTTCCTTCCTTCATTAACTTCCTAATTGGAAGTTAGATTAATGTGATAATATGTATGTGGGACATTTTTAACACCACCAGGTTAGCCCTGTGAAGACATAGTGGAAACAGTTTGAGTACAAAGTAAAGCAAAGCCTTATAGCTAATTAGATTTCCTCCTGGCATCCACTGAAGTTTATGGCAAAGGAATGAAGAAGTCAAAGACCATGACTGAAAACACTGTGGACTAGTCAATGGTTTTAAATATCTGTACTGACAAAATAATGCATGTAGCACTAAAAACATTTAATTACTAGCATGGACACTGAGAGTACAACTTTTTCTATCTAACTTTTTCAGCATTTGATCTCAGACTCTGCTCCATATTCTTAGTCCCATCTTCATTTACTTCTGCCAATACACTTGATATTGAAGCCGTGTGAACGGATGTTGCTCAGAGTTCCGTGGATGTGATTATTGTGACATGTGCCTCCCATTCTTATCCAGTAGAAATTGCATGTTGTAGAGAATGATTGATTGGTTACTGCCTTTGTATTTGATTTTATCATTATTCATTATTTTCTTTGTCAAACAGACCCACATTCTTCTTCACATAACCACCCAGTCCTGTCTCTCAGTAAGAAAAGTAACTGATGGCTCTCAACAGCCCACTGTGGAAATGTGTAATGATAGCCCTTTGCAAAAATGGCTGCTAAGAAACTATACAAGAGCAGAAGTTTTTAGAAATATTTTTGAGAATCCTACTGATTACATTCTCTAATAATTTTTGGAGGTTTGTGTTGCAGACTTTACTAATATTAGTTTAGTATTTTTGTTATCAAAACCTAGAAATTTACTTCTCTAATATCTGGTTAAGGGAAATCTTTATGTGCTATTTCTCCATGGAGTTATTTTTCTGTCTTATACTTCTTAGCTGCTCCTTAATTTGGAGTGTGCATGTATTTAGTAGTATTTAGTCTGTAATTAATTAGTGGATATTTTCCATTTTGTTATTTTAAATAGATATGCCTAAATATAATTGACGGAATATGTTATGACATATTAGCTATTTTTTAAGGTTAATTATAATCATGTCTATACGACAATAGATTTCAGCATTAGAGCTGAAAAACCATTAAGAAATTAAAAACATAAAAATTAAGATAGCCAAAATATTTCTTTTGGAACATTGAAATTATTTAATGTTGATTTCAATTCAGAGACTTTGGTTGTGTGCAGATAAACCATATCCTTTATGGAATTTATTATTTTAAGCCGATACTAAGCAAATGTATTATTAAAAACTAAGATTATTGGTTAAATTATATAATTATAATAAAGCATATAAATGTACATTTTCTCTGTCACTTGCATGATTTGTGAATATCTTCTCAGTAAGCAATAAAATGAATCACTATTAAGTATATGCTTTAAAAAGTACTGGTATGGAATTCTTATAAAGAGTGCAATTGGTCTTAAGGTGTTCATTTTCCTTTGTAAATAAAGTAGGTTATATTTTCCAATACCTTGCTATGAAAATACATGAGAAGTTAGGGAGGGAGATTTTCTGGTTCAGGTGAACCATTAAAGGTTGGGATTGAGCTTGGAATACTTATGACAAGGCTGGGAATAGAGGTATGAAGAAGAGAGGAGAGGAGAGGAGAGGATATTCTTGTAAAGAGTGCAATTGGTCTTAAGGTGAGGAGAGGAGAGAAGAGGGGAAGGGAGGGGAGGAGAGGGAAGGAGAGGGGAGGGGAGAGGAGGGGGGAGGGGGAGGGGAGAGGAGAGGGGAGGTTGTTTAGGTTAGAACTAGAGCATTCTAAACATCTGTTGGGAAGCTGGAAAAGTCTGGTCCTTTTACACAAAGGTAAGTTATGTATAGAGCAATTTACATATATTATCTTAGTTTGTTTTTAAAGCAATCTTAACTGATTGACACAATTGCCAACAAGGGACAGAATTCTAGGGTAGAAACCACACCTTGTTTCTCAACAGAATTTGTCTCATGTCCCATAGCAATTCATGCTGCTTTATGGGAGCTGGCAGCCCTGTGCCAGGGTGGTGAGAGCCACATCAGGTGGGTGTGGAAAGCAACCTGGCTTCATAGCCTTATGCCTCTCAGAAGACAATGTCTCTGTGACAATCCAGAGGCAGAGCTTCTGGTGAATCAGTGGAACATGCAAAATTCCATGTCTTTGCACTTGGAGAAGCCCAGCTTGGCTTCCTATGAGGTGTTTTAATTGAAGTTGATTAGATGCAGATACAGTTTATCAATTAGAGGTCATTTTTGCCATAAGTAATGTTGCCTAGAAATATAGTTAACATTATCAGGTTGCCAAGGGGTTATAGTTAAAAGAGTTCATCAAGGTCAAATTTTTTTCATCAGAGAAGATTAAGTATTCATCAGTTTAACTGAGCATCTTCTCACAAGGAGTCTGATTGCTCAGATAATTTAAAAACTTGCTCAAGTTTTCACGGCCAGTAAGTGGGGGAGGAAGGGTGGGAATTTACACTTCAGGCTGCCTGACCCTAAATGTCTGCTGTTTCTACTGCGCAACAGTGTTTGGGTTGATTGGTTGCTTGTTATCTCTACAGTGGTGGCTTTTGACTACTAATGAATTCCTTCAAAGAAAACATACATTTTTTAAACAGAGCAACACTTACTAATATTTTTTCAAAGTATCCCTATGTATATAGTCGATAACATTCGCTTTGATCCTTAAAGTCACATGTGTATATTTTAAAAAGGAATCTAATAGAAGCAAGCAAGGGTAAATAGCTTTTTAAAAAGAACTATGTACACAGAGGATCTCAGGTATGTAACAAAAACGAATATTTTGTAGATTCTTAACTAGAGCTTGCTAGCAAAGAATTGTTTTTGTTTTGCTTTGAATTTTTTTCAAGTTGGCTCTTGGTTCATAAACCAACAACCTGATTTCTGCCATCATAAGCATAAATCAACTACCTTCTTGCCTATGTGTGTTCATTTTTTCTCTATCCTTTAGTGTAAATAGCTTGGTTCTGTGTATTGAAAGAACAAGAACAAAGGCCTCAGTCTTAAAATCTCCTTCATATCTGACAACTTTGCTTTTTTAATTTCCTGCTTGTTGTCTATTAAGCATCCTCCACTACAAACCTAGTTTCCATTCCATCTTTTCTCAGGACAATGAGGTCCAGGCTGTGTATAGTTCTAATCCAAACAAATTATGGTTGTCTAGGCAGTGTTTCTCCACCATTTTTATTGCATTCCCCCTGAATATTTTTCATACAAATTTCAATTATAATAGTATGAGCCAGAAAAATTAATTGTCTACCTTTAATTTTGATGATTTAAAATAGGATATACTGGCAATATCCTCCCATGCATTCAAACACTTCTCTTCTTGAAAGTTTTTTTTATATAGAATGGTTCTAGGCATTGTCCATGAAACTGAGCAAACATGAACATAATTAGTGAACACAAATTAATATAAAGCATGTGGACTTAAAATTTATATCTGTAAAGTCCAAAATTCATAATTTCAAAATGTAAATGTGAACTCAAAAGGGAAGATGTATAATGATGGTTAACATGATGCAGTTTTTGGAATTACATTTCAGCATTTGGGTACTGAGATGATGCTTATCAATGAATACCATCATTATAAAAAATATATATAGGTATAAATTTAAAAATAGGTGACAACACATCCCTGACTTAATTTGGTATTAAATTTTTTAAAGATTCTCAGAAATGCAAACCAAATGATGGTGAGCATATTATCAAGCAAGACAGGTCTTCGCTGTGATAATCACTCAAATACAATGAATTTCTCACTCACAGAGACTGTGGCCTGTTTAGTATTTGGATCTGGAAACATCTCTAACAGTTTTCTCATTTGGGTCACAGCTGTGACATCTCTTTGCATGTTTGCCAAGCAGTTACTGAATAACCCATGCCTAAGATAACTAGGCTTTGGTGAAAGCTTGTTAATATTTACAGCCCTGGACTGAACTCAGAGCTCACAAATGGGCCTTTTGCAAAGGAACCCGAATCCTTGGCAATGCGGAACACATGCTGGCTAATTTCTTGAACCATCTGCAAATAAAGGTGTATTAGACAGTGATGAAACCATGACAGGGAAAGTTGTATAATAATTAATTCACAACCACCTGTGCACAGTTCCTTTTATAGACATATCACAGTGTTTATACTAAAAATTTTTTTAAAAATCAGAAAGGTCTATTAAAGGGCATGGGATGTGCTAGTGAAATAAGACACGATGCGATGCACTGATGGTGGGTTATCTTTTCCAGAGACTCACCTTGAGGCACGTGAACAGTAACCAGTGTCTCGATGAACCTTCTGAAGAAGACAAAATGGTGCCTACCATGCAGGACTGCAGTGGCAGCAGGTCCCAGCAGTGGCTGCTGAGGAACATGACGTTGGGGGCATGAAGGCCACTTCCCCCAAGCCATGAAAGTGTCTGCACTTTTGTTTTTCCATTATTTCAATTAAGGGGAAAAAAAAGATTAACTTTGCTGAATCAAAAGTTTTAAAATCCTTTTAGTATTCTAAAACACAGTTGTTTATAATTCATTTTTAGGAATGTTTGCTTATTTCCCTACAAAATTTGTATCTGATCAAAAGCACATAAAAATATGAGTAACAGCAAACTGTTATTAAACTTTTGAAAAACTTTAAAAGAAAGTGTTTGTTTAAACACACACACACACACACAACTCTTTGTTGCCCTCATGTCACAGGATTAGTTGTAGGGAGGGGTATTTTTATTTTTTATTTTCATAGTGATTGAAAGAGAGACAGTGTAAATGCCTTATAAAATGTCTTTGTTATGAAACAGAATCATTTTATAAATTCACTCTGTTTCTACTGGACCTTTGTGGAAACATGTGAGTTTGTCAACAGCAGGCCACACACTGAATTATTTTTGAGCAATGAATTCATCATACACAATGAGTTCCAAGTTTTGTACCAGAAAACACACACACACACACACACACACACACACACACACAACTCTTTATTGCCCTCATGTCACAGGATTAGTTGTAGGGAGGGGTATTTTTATTTTTTATTTTCATAGTGATTGAAAGAGAGGCAGTGTAAATGCCTTATAAAATGTCTTTGTTTTGAAACAGAATCATTTTATAAATTCACTCTGTTTCTACTGGACCTTTGTGGAAACATGTGAGTTTGTCAACAGCAGGCCACACACTGAATTATTTTTGAGCAATGAATTCATCATACACAATGAGTTCCAAGTTTTGTACCAGAAAAAAAAAAAACACATACACACACACACATAAAAAAAACAATAACAACTGGACCTTGACTTACAGAGTTCTTATAAAAGCATCACATTTAAACAAAAACAAAACAAAACAGAGAGGAGAAGAATTTAACAATTCAATTTAAAGGACATGAAATCAGAAGCATCAAGCCTGGTGGGAGCAAGATGATGAAGCTAAACTGCAACAACTGAACCGATTTAAAAGGATTCTGTGTAGGTGGTAATCAGTCCTCTCTCAGGCTGAGTGTTTAACAATCAGATTGGTTCCAGAGTTGAAGTTGGAAACTCAATCCTTAGCAACTATCTGTGTCTCACATAAACCATGCAGCCCTTTTCTCTTCACTCTAGAGACTGTGGCTTGTCCCTTATGCTCTACAGAATTGTAGGTAAAGGGTGAAGAGTATTAGTCCTGATTTTTTTTCCTCCTACATTTAAAACTTTAAGGTCACTATTACCATTTTAATTTTTAAAACTGGTTCACTGCTATGCTAGAATATCGAAAATTTCCATTACTAAGGGAATGAATTCAGTACACATCCATGAAACTTTGCTTTTAATTATCTGTTAGAAACCATTTGCTATAAGTTGTGGCTCAAGGAGCACAGTCATGTTAGGCTAACTTCACACATTCTATTTCCACCTTAAAGCCCTTTGTGTTCAAAATGAATGAGGTGAAGATACTAAAAAGAAGACGCTATCAGTTGAGAATCGAGCTAATAACTTTTAGTATTTCACACCATTTTAGTATTTCACACCATTTAGCATTTCACACCCTTAGAGTAGCTCTACATATGCATTTTAGTCATTAATAAATACATTCAGCAGCCAAGGGAAATTTGTAGAATCATCCTGCCATATTTTTGGCTCTCAACTTTTCTTAAAAAGCTATAGAAGGCCAGTAAAATCTTGTATGATTTTCCTGCTAGCATTAGCATTATTTCTTTGGGTTTATACTGGTAAAGCGCTAAGGAAAAATTCTACAATCTGGTGTATTTCCAGGTGTATTTCTTAAAGTGCAGACATTCCTAAAAGAACCGACACCCAACTACAGGGCATGAGGGTTGTCATTAGCCAACTTTTGTGGGAACTGCCTTTGAATGAACAACTGAAAAAGTGTGCGGTCCCAGCTCCCAACACAAACTGGATGGCCCTCAAAAGCAGCTTGGGTTCCTAGCTGCAGACCCTGGGAAGGTGAATCAAATGCTTTTTTGCATTGATTTTCTTAAGTTCATTTGCTTTTAGTTTTCCAAGATCTGTAATCTCTGGCTATTTTCTATGTTCTCAGGACCCCTGAGTAGACAACAAAGCATGATTTCAGAGTAGACATATGGCAAGAAACCGTGGCATTGATTGTGCTGAGTCCAGACAAATAAATTTATATACACATCCAAATTGGAAGAGAAAATTTCTTTCTTTTTTTTTCTTTAAATATATTTTATTGATTTTTATACAGAGAGGAAGAGAGAGGGATAGAGAGTTAGAAACATCGATGAGAGAGAATCATCGATCAGCTGCCTCTTGCACACCCCGTACTGGGGGTGTGCCCGCAACCAGGGTACATGCCCTTGACCGGAATCGAACCCGGGACCTTTCAGTTCCCAAGCCGACGCTCTATCCACTGAGCGAAACCGGTCCTGGTGAGAAAATTTATTTCTTTAGGTTTCAAACACTGTAATAGAAATAAAGCAAAAATAAAGATCTGTTGCAAAGTTAAAAAAAAAAAAATGCGTAGATATTCATCAGCTTGAGGTCCCCAAATCTTTTAAAATTACAAGCAAAAGTTTGAGTGTTGGACATTTCTTTTTGGTAGAGAACCCATTGTTTACAGCAAATTTATAAGGAAACTGTGACATCCCCGAGGTAGGGAGCCGCTGCCTTCAATTGACAGTGGCCTCACAAGTCACCTGAGGACTCTCTTCTTCTCCCCCTTTCCTCTTGTCTCACTAAATTAAAGTTAAATGTCCCTGCACGTTGGCCCTTAAACTTACAAAACTGAAACATTCAAGGACTCTTTAATATAATATATTCCATTGTGGATTTGTCAATCAAAATACACGTTATCTAGAAAATGGTCAAAGACAATTTAAAAAAAAAATGATTACCCAAACTGAATTTGACACATTTTAGCAGTATTTTAAATATCTGAAAGTTCATTATGGTCATGGAAAAAATACAACAGAAATAAAAATGACACGAGTTTCATGCCAGAGAAGAATTTTCCAAGAATCCTCAGATGGTATGAGCATATGTTATTAGAGTGGCTAACAAACAAAAAAATGTCATAAGATACTAGAAAACACCAAAAACTAGAAAGCATTTGCTAATTCAGTGTTCTTTTCAAAAATATTTATTGTATTCAGTACAGAAAATTAGAATTATGATTGGATTCTTATACTTTATTATCTTTCTAGACTAATAGATCCTTCAGATGACTTCAGACTTCCTCTTCGGAGGTCACCCCACCGCAACTCCCGTCTTCCAGATGCTCAGATCAAAAACCTAGTCAGTTTTCATTCCACTCTTTCTCTATCACTTCCATCTAATCCATCAGAAACCCCCGTGATTCCCAACCAACTACTTACCACCACATCAGCAGTGTCACTAGCTTTAACCTTTTAAACTGCAAATGCTTATAATTTGGTTCCCTAATTTCCCAGCCCTTGCTCCTAAATAGTCTTTTCTCGCTACAGCAGCCACAGTGATTCTTTTTAACATAATTTTATTGTGTCTCTTCTCTGCTCACAACCCTCCAATGACTTCTCATGTCTCCCCAAAACTTCTTATAGTGGTCTTTAGAGTCCTTCATGAATGACACTCCTGTGAGCACGTACACACACTACACACATACACACGAACACAGACACACACACACACACACACACATGAATACTTCCACTCTGGCTGCCAAACAAGTTTCTGTCTTAGGTTTTTGTTCCCTTTGCCCACAGAGCTTTCTCAATCACTTTGGCAGGTCTTTACTCAAATTTTATCTCATCAGTAAGGCAAACCCTTCTCTACCCTACCCTTCCCAGTCCCCGAAAATTCTCAGACAAACTATAAATTTGTTTCTTTATTTTCTGTCTACCTTTCCACTTTCAAACCCCCTGCATTACCATTGCACACCCCAGAATGTCAGTCTTTTTCACTGTGTTATTCCCAGTATCTAGTAGAGTTATTGGGACATAATAAGTCTTTTTTGAATAAACTGAAAAACAATGTTTGTTAAAGTTACCAAGTACTACAGTATCCTATATTTTTTGCACAATATTTTAAATTTTAAAATGAAGTCAAGTAGTATATTTAAACAGGATGTACATTACTTTCTCCAAATAATAATTTTCTTCCTGATATTCCTCAAATTAAAAAATAGGCTATATTTTGTTCTCTATGTTAGTATATCCTGCCTTATGGAAATGAAATATATGACATTTTATAAACATGCTGCTACATTATATAAGTTGATTCATTAAGATAACAATTATTTTTATTTTTTGGTTGTCTTTAATGGCCACCTGATGGCATAAATAAGATTTTTACTTTTAGGGGGGAGACATGTATCATTTTCTTAAAAACCATATGTATTTTTATTGTTTCACAGGAACTATTATTAAATGTATTTTCTAAGTTCAAGTCTATAAATAATTCTAGAAACTTTAAAAACTTTGCAGATGATTTATTCTTAGTTTCTCTGTTTATAGGCAATAGAGAGAATCGGATATGTAATTTAGCTTGTTCAATGATCATACAGCTGTATGCACTGATGTCAGGACTCATCAATGTTAATATAATCTAACACTGTCTTCAATTACAAAGCACTCAAAATATAATAAAAAGGGCACAATCATAAGAGAAAAATGTCTTTATTAAACATTTTGTAGTAACTAAATTGATTCTTTAGAAATATAAACTCTTCTTTTGTTATATTATCCTTTTTAGAGTTAATTAACTTTAGAAATTTAACTTCTCACCACCTTTCATACTTAAATAAAATTATTTCTACAAAATACTACCAAAGGCAATAAATAAAGACCTGCAGCAAAAGTAGAGAAATTAGCAGGAGACAGCCTGATTGCAGAACATTCTAGCATTATTGGGCAAACGGTGTTCCAGAGAAGCAAAGCCTCTTGAGCAGTAAAACAGGGA